AATAGTTTTTAGTTTGTAAATGGACCTTTATTTTGTTTATTTATGTGTGGTGCTGAGAATCAAACCCAGTGCCTCACATATGCTAGGCAAGCATTCTGCCACTGAGCAACAACCCCAGGTCCTGCATACATATTTTATGAGTCCATAAAGTTATATATTCATCCTCAAATTAAAAGTATTTGGAATCATATGACTCACATTAAACTATTTCTATCTCAGAACATAAATATTTATATTAATTTTTGTGCATACTTACATGAGTGCATTCCTATGAATATTTATGTTTGCTGACACTCATATTCACTATTTAACACAAACCCTATTGCCAAAAAAATTAATACTAATCCTAAACTCAGTCTTATTCCTAAATCTAAAGTAACATGAAAGGCTACATACTATGCATATTTAAGAGTATTTTGACTTATACATTCAATTACCAATGGTATACTTGCAAGTGTCATCATATATTCATTTATATGAAACATCCATGCACTCTGGAGGTAAAAAGTATGTATTCAAATTATGAACCCTATGCTCAGAAATTATATATTTCAGAACTTATATATTTATATATGTTTTAGAACTTATATATGTTTTCATATATATTTTCACGCATTCTTATGATTATTCATGTTTCCCAGTACCAATAATTACTGACTAAAGTTACTCTTAATCATTAAATCAAAATTTAATGTTGAACCTTCTTCTTCATACTGCCATAGTGTCCCAGAGATTTCAATATGTTGTATCAGTGTTCTCATTTATCTCAAAGTTTTTTAGTTCTCTCCTTGAAGTTTTATGCAACCCATTGTTCATTCAGTAGCATATTATTTAGTCTCCAGATGTTGGAGTCACTTTTATTTATTTCATCATTGATTTCTAGTTTCATTCCATTAATATCTGATAGAATGCAGGCTAGTGTCTCTACTTTTTTGTATTTGCTAAGAGTTGCTTTGTGAAACGATACATGGTCTCTTTTAGAGAAGGATCCATGTGCTACTGAGAAGAAAGTATATTTTCTTATTGAAGAATGAAATATTCTATGTATTTAAGTTAACTCTAAGTTATTAATTGTGTTATTGAGATCTATAGTTTTTTGTTCAGGTTTGTTTAAAAGATCTATCTAGTGGTGAAAGAGGTGTGTTAAACCACCTAAAATTATTATGTTGTGGCCAATTTGACTCTGGAACTTGAGAAGAGTTTGTTTAATAAACATAGCTGAACCATTGTTTGGGGCATATATATTTATGATTGCTATGTCTTGTTGGTGCATGGTT